TCACTCGTACCTGACGATCGACCGGAAAACGACACTGATCATCACCGACAGATCAGGCAGTGGGCCATCGAACCACCACTGTCTCCAATGTCTGATTTACCATCTTCAGACGAATTTCTCGGTATCATTAGATCCTTGCCGCTAAACAAGGCTTCGGGTGATGATAAAATATCTAACAAAATGATAAAAGAAGCTTGTAAACTTTCGGGTGACACGATTTTCACTGTCTTTAAACGTTGCATTGCTGAAGGAATATTTCCTCGTATATGGCGGTGCGGTAATATTCGTATAATACCAAAAAGTGGCGACAAGCCACCGGATGATCCTAAATCCTACCGACCAATCACATTGTTACCATCGTTAGGAAAGCTTTTAGAACGTCTTGTAGTGCCCCGGCTTCTGCCAGGTGGAGTCAAATTTCATGATAGACAATTTGGATTTACGTTGGGTAAATCGACAACTGACGCTGTTATATCGGTTAGAAAGTTTGTCACAGAGTCAAAATTTCAATACGTGCTGGCTATTTTCTTAGATATATCTGGCGCCTTCGACAACGCATGGTGGCCCATGCTGTTGCTGAAATTAAAATCACGGGGGTGTTTTAAAAATATTTATTCCCTTATCTGTTCGTACTTTTCACAAGGTACAACTAAACTAAGACTTGGTCATCATTCTGTGTCGAAGGCGCTTACAATGGGATGTCCTCAGGGATCGGTGCTAGGTCCATACTTGTGGAATATCGGCTTCGACGATTTTCTTACGATACCAATACCATCCGGATGTACTCTGAACGCGTATGCTGATGACGGCTTATTACTGGTGGAATCTGATACTAGGGCGGGGCTTGAGAGATTAGCCAATAGATGTTTGAACTTGATATCTCAATGGGGTGAACGTAATCGCTTAACTTTTGCACCCAACAAAACCTTCCAGTTACTTTTAAAAGGTAACCTCAAATCACCGCCGAGCATTAGATTTGACAATGTCACTGTAAAAAATAAAACCACAGTGTGTTATCTAGGATTAGTTTTAGAAAGAAACTTTTCATTTATCGAACATATTAAAATAGTTAATGAAAAGTCTAAAAAGAGTTTCTGTGCATTGACAAGGATATCAACTGCGACATGGGGTCTATCATTTAATACATTAAAGATCATATACGGAGCTACTTATTTAGGTTCTATGTGCTATGGTGCACCTGTATGGGCCGATAGGGCGACCGTAGGCGCTGTCCGTCGCAAACTGTTACAAGGCCAACGACTTGCACTGATATTTTTGTGCAAGGCATATAGGACGGTTAGCACTGAGGCTTTGCCGGTGTTGGCAGGTGTCCTTCCGGTCGATCTCGAGGTGCAGAGACGTGCAGCCATGTACTATTCAAGACAAAACATGGAATGCGATTTCTTGGGCGCGCGGGATCGCGGTAAAATTACAAGATTGCTTCAACAGCAGTCCGATGTCTATAATGACCTCATAGACGAATGGCAGCAACGCTGGGACGAATCATCCAAGGGGCGCCATCTTTACCAATTTTTTCCATCTGTTCGCGAACGGTTGTCGAGGACATGGCTTGAGGTGGATCACTGTGTCGCTCAATTTCTTACGGGTCATGGTAACTTTAAGAGCAAGTTGTATTCATTTAAATTAGTCGAGTCACCATTGTGTCAATGCTCAACACCTAACTCTCATTATGAACAGTCTGCTCATCATATCCTCTGGGAATGTAGTCTTTGGTATAATGAACGTAATATAATGCTGAATAGCTTGCAGGTGACATCTGGGGCGGTATACTATGGGGATCTTGTGTCAACTAGGGTGAATTTCCGTGCGTTTAGGCGATTCTGCCATACATATTATAGAAATCAAATATAGCTCATGTAGGACCCGTAATATTTGGTGGCCGTGGTGCTTCCCTGTTTAAAAGGGTGTATGCCTATTTTACTTCATTTTGTCTCCCGCTTTGCTAAGGAGGGAAGTGGATTTACTGTATTTCCAACTCCTCCAATTTTCTTCTGATTAATTTCGTTGCGGGTTCCAAGACAGTTTAATTTCTTCCTGGGACTTCCCGAGTGTCATAACTCGGTGTGTTCGTGGGTCACTGCTGTGGATCCTGGTGTACAGGAGTTACAGTGGTGGGCGTGTGGGTGGGATTAGTCCCAAAAAAATAGATCATTAAACACAAAATTCCAGGTCATCTTGAGTCGGAGTGGGAGTTCTCTCGCTCGATAGCCTGATTGCGGCTATCGTGCGGAGCGAGAGTGCGTGGAACTCTGCCGTCTCCTTCTGCGAGCAAGTTATGCTCGCGAAGGAGACGGCGGAGCGGGACCGGGAGAGGTTTAGAACTCAGGCGCCGGAGGTCGCAGAACGACCTCCGTCCTCCATAAGCGCAGGCCTGGGGGTGACAGGTGAGGCCATCTGTCACCCTAGCAGAAGCAGGCCGGGGTGGTGGCGAGCGCGTTGCGAAGCGCGCTCGCTTCCAGGGAGCACAGGGAACATGGGGTTCCCACACGGGGCGGGGGTCGTCTACTCGTCTGTAGATGACCCGAGGTATGTCGGGGCACCAGGGCCTTCCTTTCTAGGGTATACCTGGTTCCCCGGCTATTAGTACCCGGCGAAGGCGTGCGGTTTTAGTCGGTTCGAGTCCGACATGCCACCGACAGGTGGTATCCGAGGGGATTTCCGCACGGAAAAAAAAAAAAGGTCATCTTGAGTGAAGTTCTTTGAAATTTTTAGTAAACTTACAGTACATGCTTATTTAAAGTCGCCGAAATCTGGAATAACCTGACTGTGAATAGAATAGTATTTAGTGTGAATAGAGGGAAAGGATTGCTCTTGGACTGAAAACCAAGTGACTTACGAGTAGAATGAATAGATACGTAAGTATAGACCAACAATAATTACAGCATAAACTAACTGATGTTGTAGTTAAAAACGTCAGTTTTACAGAGTACATACGTTGCAGAACGGATGGCCGTCAGGGTCAAGGTTCTGGAGGTGACATCGTGAACCGGAAAGGTCACCGTAGGACGTCCATCAACGAAGTGCATAAATTACCTAATAACATTGATCCACGGTGACTGCATGACAAGTCGAACCAGTCTTCTTGTCATTGATGAAGACCTTTGTGGATGTATTATGGCTGAAATGATAAATATGAAATACCAAATTTTAAAAAGGAAGAACCAAAATCACACACTGTCGACTGCACGGATGGCGTAGTGGTTTAAGCGGTTGCCACGTCGCTTACTACTACGTTGAGTGCTGTGGGTCCGATCCCCACATGGGACTACATTTTGTGTGATCCTCAAATTGTTGTTCTGAGTCTGAGTGTTCTTTGTGTCCGTTTCATGAATGTTCGTAAAGTCCCCTGCGACACCGGATATGCTTATTGCTAATGCGGAAGTTGTCTTACAAAAAAAAATATACATACAATTAGCAACCATGCAAAAATATTGATAGCCTGTTCTTTGTGATCATAAAAATAACGCGACCATGTTTTACTAACGTGACTAATATTTAAGGGCTGGTTTCAATTCTGTAGAGTAAGTTGTAATTTACTTTGGGCAAAAAATCCTACAACTTTCAGATAAAAACAAAGCATATATATTTAATAATCCTTAAGTCTCAGACAGATTTTAACCAAAAACTTTAACGTTAAGGTATAGAATAAATAATCGTTTTTTTAACACACTTTTATTAGCTTTGTATGTTTTTCTTTTTTTGTTTAAAGACAACTTTCGAATTAGGAATATATCCTGTGTCGCAGGGGACTTTACAGAAATACATGAAACGGATATAAAACATCAATTTGTGAACACCCAGACTCAGAACATCAATTTGTGAATCACATAAAGTATAGTCCCATGTGGGCATCGAAGCCACAACACTCAGCGTACCGACTGTTATTTTAATCTTAATGAGAAAAAATCATCATTAATGATTAAAAAAGCAAAAACAAATTATGGTTTAAAGAAACTAAAAAACACGCTTTTGTGACCAGCCGAACACTAAAGTAGAAAATAATTTTCTATGAGTTCCAAAAGAAAAAGTATTTTATGATAAAAAAGCGTGGGGTGCTTTTCAAGATATTTTGTAATAAAATAACTTTCACATCAACAGCCTTTAATAGTCCACTGCTGAACATAGGCCTCTCCTTAGAAATAAGGTATTGGCTTTACTTTTACCAATATCTTTTAATAATATATTTTTAAAACAATTGAGATCTCGCAATCCACTTTTTACCCACACAATTTATACGATAAAATGATTTTTGACCCCTTGAGGCCATAAGGCTTCGGGTTCGATTCCAGAATCGGGCAAAATTTCATATAGTTTTTCTGAGAGGTAGCCTAAGTTGCTACCTGGTAATAAAATATTATCAAAAACAATTAAAAAAAAACAATCAAAATCAATATAGGTAGTAAAATAAAGTTTTGAAGATTACCCAGAACAAACAGATAGACAGACAAAAAATATTTAAACTGGTTTTTGGGTATAGGTATCGTGCAAATAACCGTGTGAGGATGAAACCGAATAGGGGTGAAGACACTCCGCATTCTTAATCCGTCACCATACCGACAAGCTTTCTTTCTTCTGTACCTTTCTTATTTTCTCAATCGTTAATATGACTACGTATCAATGAGATACAACCTATGTGATATGATATGATTTACCTATTCTCTCATGTGAACTAGACTGTGCAATATTCAAATTTCGCCAATTATCGAACCTTGATATGTGAGCAATAAATCTAATTGCATTTCAATATTGAATACATAACGTAATTATGACCTTTGATCATCCAATACAAAGTGTAACACACGTACTAAACCAGTTTCATACACCAGTTCGTCTTCATAATGTCGGGATTGGGTAATATTGACCACGAGAAACGTCAATGTAGATCTAGTTGAGTTCAACTATATAAAGTGTACTGATATTGTGAGGTTATCAGTTGCATCTGTGGCTTCTTCAAAGCAAGATCTACAAATTAAATCACAATGAAATTGGTAAATAATGTTTTAATAATCTGTATAAGTTTATGCAAAATTTACGGTTTTACTTTTGTGTGTGTAACCCTTGAAAGCCCTTTTCAAGGAGTGAAGCGTCCTGTCGCGACACCTGACACTTTATGAATACTTTTCACGGATTTTTTTATTATTACTTACATAAGTGACAAAATGGGACAGTACGTTTGATTCACATACCAGATTTGATCGGACCAAGTATCATTCCTTGCTACATAAAACTAAGAATCAAAACTAAACTTACATACTTAAAAGGGCTGAAGTTCATTATAATTTTCTAATATATCAATAACATTTATACCAGTTCGATTTAAGATTTTAAACAGTATGTTTTAATCTCAACCAGTAAAGTCAAATATGCGTATAAAAACATGTAGTTGTATTGTAGTTACTGATTCGCTAGACGTCTTTGACACACTTTCTTTCAAGGTCATTAAACACTATAGTTAAAGTTATAAGCAAACATTTCTACCTATTACTACTGCGTTACAAAACTGAAGATATTTCACGAAAATTTCAAATTTAATTGTTTCTTCATTAGATATGATGAAAATGCCTATCAACATCATCTTAATTGCAGTGTTATTAAAATTGCAGCCAAATTTTACCTCAACACCTCAAAAGCCTTTGACGATACAAAGTTACGAAATTTTTTACATTTTATTTTTCAGTTTATCGTCTTAGCGATTGCCACTCTGGCACAAGCCGCTAAACTTGATCGGGTATACCTTCCACCTAATGCACGTGCATCTGCGGGATCATCTAACTTCCTTCAGACACCTAAAAGTTTCTCCAGCAGTGGCTCTGCCCAAAATTTTAACACTTATTCCGGTTCATCGGGTTCCAATCAAAATGCCTACTCTCGAAACGCATACTCAGGTTTCGAAGCTCGACCTGAACGCACTCAAGCATCTGTTGAAAGAAACGCTGCTATTCTTCGTCAGGACAGCTCAAATGATGGAGAAACTTATTCTTACGCTTACGAAACTGAGAACGGTATCCGTGCAGAGGAAAGCGGTGTGGCTACCAATGGTGTCCAAGCTCAAGGTGGATTCAGTTACACAGGAGATGATGGCAAAGTTTATACTGTGAGGTAAGTTTACGAACATATGTCAATGCAATGTCTACTTGTGTCGATTATTTTGTCCTGCTAAAGGTTATTCAAAACATTGTTAATTTGATAGGTTTTTATTAGTGGCCTAAATGCAATCACGCGTGTTGTTTGTTTTTTTTTTCAGTTTTAATTTCTGTGAACTTTTTGTTTGTTGATAAAATAACGAATTATTAACCTCTTACACTAGTGAAATAAAGAAAGAAAGAATATCTCTAATGACAATAAGTATTCCTTTTTTCTTTAATATCTAAAAAAAATCCCATATTCGATATGCGATATAAATGAGCTGGCTAATAAAATATCGTCAAATAATAATAGTAATATTCTACCACATTCACACAACGCCATCTAGTCCCAAACTAAGTAGAGCTTGTACTATGGGTACTAGACAACTGATATAAATACATATGCACTTATTTTTTGTAAATACATGCTTATTATACCTAGAAATACCCAGACCAAATCAAACATTAAATGTTCATGCACACAAATGTTTGACTTGAGCGGGAATCGAACCCGCAACCTTTGGAATAGCAGTCCGTTACACATATCCACTACGCCATCCAGTCGTCAAATAATATCATGAATAAAGCAAAACTTAATATTTGTGAAATATGAGTTCTTTACTAAATATGTGTTTAAAGCGATACTTACGAGTCATTAAATCAGATACCGATGTATCCAATTACTGTCTTAACCAAATATCATAGTACGATAGTAAAAATAATGATTCAAATACTTGCATTCAGGTATACAGCTGATGAAAACGGTTTCGTCCCACAAGGTGATCACCTCCCTACTTCTCCTCCTATTCCTGAAGAAATCCTGAAAGCTCTTGAGCAGAACGCTCGTGATGAGGCTGCTGGCATTTATGATGATGGTAAGAAAATTTTATAATGTGTTTTTTATTTTATTTCAGCCGTTGATATAACAAAGAGAAAGGTATATTTTATAGCATCATTTAAAATAGTTCTAACTGATAATATAATAATATACCTCACACATCTCACACACGGCCGTCTGATCCCAAACTAGGCAAGAGCCTGTGCTATGGTAACCAGAGTGCTGATAAACATGCTTATATATTTTAAATACATACATATTATAAATAAATTACCCACCCAGACACGGAACAAGGGACCGCGCTCATCACACAATATTTGTCCTGGGTGGGAATCGAACCCTCCGGTTTAGCAGTCATGGTCACTAACCACAAGACCAACGTCTGATATTATTTAAAAATTGAGATTATTGCAACGTCTGAATTTATGTTTTTTTTTAATTTATTTTATGCTATTATAAGTCATTCAAAACTGGTTTTTCTATTAATGCGTCTGGGGTATGCTACTAAAAGTTTTTATCAATAATAAACATTGCCTAATGTTTGATCTGTTTATCAGTTTTATAATAGTTTTAATAATACCAATGACCTACAACTTTTTAAAGGAACTTACGACGAGGCCAAGTTCTCTACCAACAGCCAGCAACAATACTACAACACGAACGCGCAACCCATCAACTACAATAGGAATTCAGGTGCTGTTCAGAAGACGTACCTCCCCCCTTCCGCACAGAGAAACAATTACCAAAGGAACGGATACTGAAGACTGTAAATTATAATCTGTAAATAAATAAACACTAATTATCAATAAAATATTTAACTAATCATAATAGAGCTTTTCTTCTCTTAAATTCACGCCTTTTATCCCCGGAGGGGTAGACGTATTAAACTATAATTCTAATCCTACTCATGTAAATATTTCCAAATAAAGATACTTTTATTGTTATAGATAAATTACATTCCGACACAGAACAAACTATGCTGTAAAATAATATTTGATCTGGATGAAAATCGAACCCACGATCTCTTGCTTAGCAGTCAAGCTTGCTAACCATAACCTTAATAAAATTTCTGCAACCAATGAAATACTCGTAATAGGAAATAAATAAATACACAAAAACAAATACCTTCTATGACTTTAGGGTGACTATGAATTTATTTCGAAATTTAAGAAACTTTTCGATTTGATTACTCAGCACTAACGCGGAAATAATTCAACTAAACTTATTAAAATTGAATTTGGTTTACGCTTTAAACACTTTCTTAATAAATATTATACAACAAAACTCTAACTTTTTAATAAGTAACGAGAAAAGAATATCTGAACATCACAAATTTTTGTGGTGACTGACTGATTGTCAAGCTTTTGAAATATTAGCTTTATAGGTTAATTTTATCAATATTCTCAATTTCAAAACTTTGTTGTAAATAAACCCACATTTTCTCAAAATTTTCAGCGATGGTAAACTTTTGTTTTATTTTGGAATATTTGGTAAATTTAATAGTGAACTTTAAAACAGGAGCTATATAATTTAAAAATCAAACTGTTTTAAATAACAATTTCTAATTATCTAAGATTGTAGTTTGCAAATTTAACATTTAAAACTTCTAGGTGTCCTTGTATTAAATTATTGACTCATTATTGAGTAACGAACATTTCAGCAATCTAAAATATACTTATGTACAGGAATATTTTAGTAAAGCATTTCTATCACGACTCAACATCGAGTAAGATAGTGGTTAAAGGCCACAGAAAACATTTTGAAAAAAAAAACAAAATTTCAAATCTTAAAAGAACCCTAAATATAAATAAAAATAAACTATGAAATAACAGATGGTATGTATATATATATATATATTAATATGTATATAAAAGATTAGTACTATGTCTTAAATGTTGATTTTAATTGTTTTTTCTTCGACGTGTATTAAATCAAAACGATGCAAAACTAGATCCGAAACTAACTTTATTTTTAAAACAACAAAGTGCACTACTTAATAATATACATGATTCTAGCTTCAGCCATAATATATGACAATTATGTTTTTTCCTTGTCTATTTTTTACAATAAGACTTTTTAATGTAAATTTTAAAATTAAATTATATCAAAGCAGTTTTCAAAAATTCTTAATCAAATATAATCAATATTAACAAAGATAACTTTTTTAACAAATCAGCTGCAGGAGTAGAAAATGTTACTGTACTTCGGTAAGTAACCTTACTAAAACACGATAATGACATCAAGGCGGAACAGTTAAAGTTCATAATTGTTTAATTATGCTCTAGGTACGTTGAACTTGATAGGTATGACGTTAAAACTCTACCACGCGTAAAGAAGTACATTAGAATAATCTTTCAGTAACATCACAATGTTAATATTGCGAAATTTTGACCAAAAACTACAGTAAAGTAGATCAAGCAGCATCATAAACTATATAAACCCAATACTGCTAAGGTAAGGTAATCAGTTGCAGATAAACCTTCAATGAGGAAAGTATCTTCATCTTATTGAAGAAAAATGAAATTGGTAAGAATTTTTTTTAACATAATTAGCGTACACTCAAGAGTTATTAAATAATTAGTAACAGATTTAGCCGGTTTGAAGGCCACTTAAAGTCATCTTTCTTTCAATTTGAACGAATAAATATAAGAATGCTTCTATCCAAATTATTATATGTATTTACTTATATATTTTCTTTTCTAGTTAACCTTATTGGTTTGTGTCACTATAACAAAAGGTGATGTACTGAACAATAGATATCTCCCACCTAAAGCTCACATGAATGTAAGGTCGAACTTCTACCACACTCCTAATCAATTTTCAAGTGCGGTCTCTCATCAGAGTGTCAATGCTTACTTTGGCACTCCAATAACTGTACTTGATACGCAATTTGATCGTCCTCAAGCAGCACGTGACAGAAACGCTGCTATACTCATTCAGGACCAGTCAAGAGATGGAGATACTTATTCTTACGTTTACAAAACTGGAAATGGTATTTATGCTGAAGAAAAAGGAATAGCTATTAATGGTGTCAGAGCACAAGGTGGATACAGCTATATGGGCGATGATGGTAGAGTATACTCTGTGAGGTGAGATCTTTTACAAAATACTGCTAAAAATTTACTTTAAAATCAATTAGTTCTAAGTTTTAGAATGTACATGTTATTTTCAGGTACACAGCTGATGAAAACGGTTTTGTAGCACAAGGTGATCACCTCCCAACACCTCCTCCAATTCCTAAAGAAATTCTTAGGGCTTTGGAGCAGAATGCCCGCGATGAGGCAGCTGGCATTTTTGATGACGGTAAAACTCAATAAGTATAATACGAAAAAAACTTTTACGTAAATACAACATAGGAAAAATCTGTACTGTTTAGGTAGTAGGATAACAGAATGGCAAAACCTAATTATTTTAGAAAAGGCGTTGTTTTATTCCACTAATTATTTGCCTTTTTGCTAATTAAGATAATTTGGGTAATACAAAAGGCTGAAGCAGTTTTTACTGGTCTTTTAACACTAACAACATCCATAATAACCAAAGCAAAACCTCCTTTCTAAGGAAGGCCTATGTCCAGCAGTGGACTCCTAAAGGTTGTTGATGATGATGAGTAAACTAGACAACCTTGACACGGAGGTCATGGCCTTAGTGCGGTCGTCTTAAAAATGACTCTAACCCAATGTATAAAAAAATTATCTCTGAAAATAGCATGAAGTTTGGCAGTTTCGGTAAGGAATCACATTGATTATTTTAATGTTGAGTTTTTTTTCAGGATCTTACAATGAAGCCAAATACTCAAGCTCCTACCAAAAACAACATTATACTAACAATATGCAGCCTAACAACTACCACAACAATAACCGCATACACGATGATGCTGTCCAGAAGATGTATCTCCCACCTAGAACACGCAGGAACTACCAGAGGAATCAATACACAAGACTGAAGAACATGCATAGAAACATGTACATGTTTTGAATAAAATATTTATTTATTTAATTCTAGTTTTCACTTTTCTACCAAAATACTGAACTTTATGTTCTACTATTGTACTTTAAGTGACAGTTTACGTTGAGATACAAACTTTACTGCGAAAACACGTACTCGTATTATGGTTTTTAATGTTGAATATGTTACGCTTAGCTGTCATTATAAATGCGAACGTGATAGCAATCTTAGCGCATTCAAGCAAAATCCAGCCAAACTTTATAGTAATATTATTCAACTATTTGTGTCAAGCCTATCAAATATCATCATTATCAGCCAATAACGGAGTTTTTGGCCTACCATACTACGCTGGCCAGACGGGGTGTTATAAGGTTTGTTCCAAGTTTCCCATCACTTTGCAATGCTCTGGTGTGCTCATGCATAGGGGTGATAACTCCGTATTCTTAATCCGTCACCACACGGATATTGACATACATACCGATACTTAACTGTAACTACTGATCACTTCGAACTACGACAGTCTCATCCCCAGTTCACATTCAAAACTTGAAGTAGCATTTTCCTCAGCTTCCTCGCAAATATTACAATGACTCTTAATCTTAAAATACTAAAGACTTTTTCAACATAAATATATATTACCATTGCCCTAAAAAAATTTCATCGGTATCCTAGGCATCGACATATCAAGCGAAGTCCAGTTTCGGGGTCACTAAGAGGGTAAGGTCAAATTGGCCTCAAGGAAGCTCGGTGTGCTGAATAGATCGAGGCAGTATTTCACTTCGGGCCATCGCCTTCAGCTTTATAAGGCGCAAGTCCAGCCGCATATGGAATACTGTTCTCATCTCCATGCAGGTGCACCTCAGTACCAGCTTCTCCCTCTGGACCGCATCCAACGAAGAGCGACTCGAAACGTCGATAGCCCAAACATCTCCGACCGGCTCGACCCCTTGGCGATAGTGGCTGTGACTGGATGTGGCTTCACTCTGCATTCCCTATCGCATATATCATGGAGAGTGCTCCGGAGGAATTGCTCTGACTAATACCAGTTGCAAACCAATATCGTTCCAAACGGCAAAATTTGCATCCTCATTACCTGGATAGTTGGCGCTCCACTACTGTGCGCTTTTCGAGACACTTTTTGCCCCCCCACAACCAATCTGTGGAACGGGTTATCGTCTGCTTTATTTCCGGACCGATACGACCTTCAAGACAGGAGCGTACTCCTTCCTAAAAGTCCGGCAACGCGTTTGTGACTCCTGAGTTGCAGACGTTCATGGGCGGCGATAGTCACTTTCCATCAGGTGCTCTGCGTCTGCTCGTCTGCCTCCTCTAACATAAAAATAAAAAGTTAGAAAATGAGGATGATGATATATTACATATAAAAGAAATACTTAATGACCTAATTTTAGTATTATGCGAAAGTCTGTCAACATAGACAAAAATAACAGTCGAAAACTCTTTTGTATTACAAAGTGTCAGTACATCCAAGTACGATATAATTGTCTACGAAATACACAACACTCGATTAATTTCCAATTTCGAATGCGCAGTGCGCAAATTTATTATTTCTTTTACAAGTAATGTCAATGATACGTCATCGCATGCAATTCTACAATTAAAATTTGTTCTGGTACGCACCTCACACACTTTGTCGCGTTATTTTTTCACATAGAAACAACTAATTGTTGAAGGACGTTCGATGACATTTAAAAACTACAATGTCTATCACAAGTGTGGTATTTGTCATTGACATAGAGTAAAGTAAAGTTTAACTTAATTAGAGATATTAATTGTACAAATTGATGATGGTTTTTACATCGATTTCTTTTCTTTCTGGCCTTATTTGAATTGTAAATTAGGTTATGGTTATAGAAAATCTACAAATGAATACTAAAGTACCTACTTATGCAATGTGAGATAGATTAATGAGATTTTACTATATCTTCGTAAAATGTTGGCATCTTGGCGCGTATTATTATGTATTTTGGCATCTGCAGATTATGCATGCACAAGGGGCTACTTGTGTGGAGCGTAATTTTAAAATTGATCTATTTCGTATTTCTTAAAAACCTCAGATACATAAAGATGTAACTCGCGTACCTACGTTTTAGACGCTGTTGATGACAAAATGTTCTTAGAGAGTCCTGGAGATCGTTGCCATCTACCTCCGAGCCTTTTTTCCAAATCGGTTGGAGACGGCTTAAAATCTACTAAGATAAGAACTTCAATTCTATGTATCTGACGACCGAATGGCATAGTTGTTTGTGTAACGGAAGCTATTCCAAAGATCGCGGGTTCGATTCCCGCTCAAGTCAAACATATATGTGCATGAACATTTAATGTTTGATTTGGTCTGGGTGTTTCTATGTATAATAAGTATAAAATTACAAAAAAAAAAGTGAAAATGTATTTATATCAGTTGTCTAGTACCCATAGTACAAGCTCTGCTTAGTTTTGGACTAAATGGCGTTGTGTGAATGTGGTACAATATTATTATTATTATCTTTATTAATTTTTTACGCGGGGCGACTGCCTTCAGACCTCCACAACCCAAGTACTAGGCGATATCGAAGTTCTGTAGAAAGACTGTTGTCTTACTTTTTAGGGCTCCAACTCCCCGTAACAATTGCCACAGATGTTCGTATGGCAACCGGGACCGACGGCTTAACATGCTCTATGAGGCACGGAGGGGTCTTATTGTGTTAAGAATGGTCACCCATCCATATACTGGCCTGGATATGATTGCTTAACTTTGAAATGCCTTAACCTACTTGGTTACCACTTAGCTACGAACCCTAGTGACCATTACTATCATAGGAGCCAAATAAATTTATATTTTGACGTTTTTGTCACTATTAATACCTATACACATAAAAAACATTTTTAGGTATATAAATAACAACTAAATAACACTTTTATATAAATAACAAAAAAATCAATGACCTATAAATTACTTATAAACAGTATTAGGTCAAACATCATTGTTCTACTAATTTGCCTGGGAAAACCGAAAACTTTATCTTGCCGAAAACTACAGGTTTGCTTCACTTCAAACATTTACTGATTACAAATAAAGGCCTGTGAGCTAGAAAACTCTTTTTCTATACAAAGAAAAACATTCTTTGTTGGCATTAGAGCACCCCGCCTCGGTCACCTATTTTTTAAATTATGTGGATAAGTAACTGAAAAGTCTAATAACTATGAAAAACGCTAACATTTACATACAATAACACATAAAAGTCTAGAGATAGGGTCAAGGGAAGAAACAACATATTTTTCCTTTACTGAATTTCTTTTCTTGCCTTTCTCATATATTTTCTCAATTTCTCAATATATATTATCAGTAGAGAGAGACAGAGTAGGACGCATAAGAAGTTAGTAAAATTTAGATATTTCATACGCTTCTAACCATGCCCTTTAAGTATCTTTATTATCTTTATATATCTTTCTCTTAATTAGAATTCGAGACAAACTTAAATGGTTGGTTTGGGAGGGGTGTTATACAACATTGCAAAGAGTATTATTTATGTTTGGAATTAAATTGTTATTTAAAAAAAAATACCTGTCTGATTCCTAAAAGACGTTCATGGGCGGCGATAGTCACTTTCCATCAGGTGACCCGTCTGCTCGTCTGCCTCCTCTAACATAAAAAAAAAATACATCACCTGCCCAATTAATTGGATATGCAATTGAAACCCCTCTTAGACTCCGAGATCGACAGTCAGTTTTATTCCTAAACCCTTTGAAAATGATTGGAATATTCTGAGTATACATACATATACAACCGTGTGGTGACGGATTAAGAATACAAATTGTCACCACCCCAATTCATCCCGTAGGTGTCGTAAGAGCCGACTAAGGGAGCAAACTAAGCAGGACAACAGCACTACAAAGAGAAGGAAAACTTGAAACAAACCCTATACCAACCCGTCTGGCCAGCGTGGTATAGTAGGCCAAAACCTCCTTTCTAAGGAGAGGCCTATGTCCAGCAGTGGACTAGTATAGGCTGTTGATGATGATGATGTGATTCTGAGTATTGGGTATAACTAGCCAATTCCCATGAGAAGATATATCTACAGACGCTAACAAAATCCATGATTCAATCACAGATATAATCAACATCAAGTTAATGAGTCCAAGCACGGTGCGGTGTAGTTAAGCAGTCTCCATGGCAAATTTAAACCATCATCATAGGACAAGCTCCATTAAACCATTAGTAGCGCTACTATCGCAGTAAACTAAATCGCTGCTTAATTGTTGATTGGTTCTTATAGTTAAGGTTTAAAATTTAAATTTGAAAAAAATTGTCGATAAGGATCAGTTAGACCAGTCGTTTTTGCTACGACTGGTTAAATTGTGACATAAGTTGACTGGGACGATTCGTAAAACCTGAACCTTGAATGAAAAAATGATGGTTGTTTTGTCAAAAACATATAATTCATATAGTATCAAGCACAGTATCTAACATTATTTTACTATACTAAAGACTACTCTGAACTGTATGTCAGATACATAGTCGTACAGAGATTGTCTGAAAGAAATTGCTGTCTTTGATGAGACGAAAATTTCATCTAAGTAACATGTTAGAATTAATTTACTTAAAAGGTGAAAATAAATAAATATATAAATATAATAAATAATAGTCCTGCAAACATGAAAAAAAAATTGGTGCAAATCTTAAAACAAAATGAAATTGAACAGGAAGAAATCCTGAACTACATAAAGCTGATTCATATTTTGCATACCTCGTAACACTAAGGTAGCACAAGTCAATAAAAACGCAATAAACATAATAATAAACTATAAACTCAAACTACCGTACGATGTTAAAATCAAAGACCATGAATAAACTAATGTTGCTGATTAAGAAATTGAATAAACCCCATTTCACATCCAAAATCAACAATTATAAAATATTATCTATAATAACGGCATCATTATGACGTGATTAATGTGATGCAACTTAAAACAAAGCTGAAGTAAATCCATCTTCATCCAACTATATATACTCTACTGATATGATGGAAGTTATCAGTTACAACAACAGCTTCTGTGAAGCAAGTCCAAACAACCGCAAACAACTAAACAAAAATGAAATTGGTAAGATTTAATAAACATCACATTTTGTGCGCAGTAATTAGCAATAGACGTTCCTCTCAAGGCCGTTTGAAATCATACAAGTCTGTATATTTCTCAATTACGAAAGTAATGACTTTTATACGCAGTTGTACTTTTACAATATTTTTTTTCACTTAAATAGATCAATAACTTACGTGTTGGCAGATACATAATGGAAGAATAGTTAATTTGACTGATCTGTTCAACTAGTCGTTAGCGATTCTAACTGCTTATTCATATGATTTCAAATCCCATACAGGACAAATGATTGAGCCCGATACTTAATGATCTGTTTTTGAGTATACTCAGATAAACGTGTGTGTTTTATTAGGAATGTTTGTAACTACTTACTTTCTTATTTACAGATCATCGTGTTAGCCGCCATTGCTCTGGCTCAAGCCGACAAGCTAGACAATGTATACCTCCCCCCTAACGCACATTCTGGATCATCTGGAGGATATCCGTCGGGAGGTTTCCGAGGTGGTGCCCAGCGCTCAGGATCTGCAAGTTCAGGCTCTAGCGCTGACAAGACAGCTACTATCCTTCGCCAAGACTTTACACTTGAAGGAGGCTCTTACTCTTACGCCTATGATACTTCCAATGGAATTCATGGCGAAGAAAAAGGCGTAGCCACAAATGGTGTCCAAGCTCAGGGTGGCTTTTCCTACACTGGGGATGATGGAAAAACTTATGCTATTTGGTAAATTTAAATACATTTATTTTTCAATCAGACTTCTAACTATTTTAGAATTGGACGTTATAAATTCCAATTACGGTCAATGACATAAACTTTGAAGTAATCTATCAAAGCACGCTTAAGTTTTCATTAGGACTGAAGTAATTTACTGAAAAAAATATGAGTTATAGAACTCACTTTTTTCGCTACAGTCATTGACATAACCTCACGTACATCCTCTAAAACTTATTGTATTAGCTTCACAGTATCTATTGAACTTTAAAATGGTTTACTTCAATTATAACCAATTAATATTTATAGGTATACTGCTGACGAGAACGGTTTCCGACCTGTAGGAGACCATCTCCCTACTCCTCCTCCCATTCCTAAGGAGATCCTCAAGGCTCTTGAACAGAATGCTCGCGATGAAGCCGCTGGAAAGAAAGATGATGGTAAGTAATATTACATCGACATCTTTGAACAAAAATATTAAGAAAAGAAAGTGGATACCACTTTCACTAATGTACGTAAAAGTTAACAAGTCCTTGTAAAACATAATTGAGCATCTAAAGATTACCAGCCTTACCTACCTGATTCTAGAAGTTAAGTTTTTTTTGACGGGACTATTTCTACCCACACACTCACTACTGCTGTGACTCCTGTACACCAGGATCAACAGCAATGACCCACGAACACATCGTGTCCCGACACTCGAGAAGTCCAAGGAAAAATTAAACTGCCTTAAAACCAGCAACGAAATTAATCAAAAGTAAATTGGAAGTGTTCTAAGCATAATAAATCAATCCAAGTAAGGGTACTCTCTGAATTACTAAAAACAATTTTTTTTCAGGTTCTTACTCCGGTGGCAGCCAACACTCCGGCTACAACAATAACGCCCAGTCACACAGCCGCGGCGCAAACGTACAGAAGTCTTATCTTCCTCCTTCAGCGTAAATTGAACGCCAAAGGAACAGACACTGAAGACTGTTTAACTTTTTTACTCTTTAACTTTATTAACTTAATGTTTTTTAATTTTTATTATTGTGTTTGAAAATTATAAATTATAATAGAAATTGTTGTTTACTTACTTTCACTGCTAAAATAAATCTATTAAAATAACTTTATAAAAATTAAATGTACAAAGTATAGACATCAAATTATAATACACTATTGATACTACTAAGCTAAATACAAGAAAATACAAGATTTTGTAAATTGGGATGGTGTGTTCTCGTGAGTACAGTTACATTACACTTTTATTCGAAAATACTTACCTGTATACATTTTCTATACAGTTTCAAATAAACTTTTAGAAAAAAGCGTACTCCTTCCTAAAAGGCCGGCAACGCGTTTGTGACTCCTGAGTTGCAGACGTTCATGGGCGGCGATAGTCTTTTTCCATCAGATGACCCGTCTGCCCCCTCTAACATAAAAAAAAACCCTGTCTATTTGTTTGACAAAAAATAACTTTGAAAAAACGAAAAAAATATATTGCTCCTGACAATTATCATCATCAACACTCTTTAGTAGGACATACTCTGTATTCTTATTCCATCACCACACGGATAAGATGAGAATTCAGATGTCACTCACGATAATGATGTGACTATTATAAGGCTTATCCATCTCAAAGAGAAGGAACAATTGAAACAAACTCTATACCAACCCGTCTGGCCAGCTGGTATAGTAGGCCGAAATTCCCTTTCTAAAGAGAGGCCTATGTCCAGCAGTGGACTATTAAAGGCTGCTGATGATGATGATAATTAACCAATCCAATGAGAAAAAAATAATAAACATGACTACACCTTCATCATTTATTGCTAAACCAATGAATAAAAAATATGCCTGCATGTTAACCTATGTCTATTAATGCAAGCGTTTAAGATTTTAAAAGTAAAATGCTTGTGTAATTACTAAAGTAATGGTTTTGATTGATTCCTCTTTAGGCTCTTGCAAGAGGTGAGAATATTGGGAAAAGTAGTTGACCACTTGATAAGATATGATGACCTGTTCAAAACAAAATTGGAAAAAATAAAGAGATATATAACTTAACAAAACTTCAAAAGATCGTTAAAGAAAGAGAGGAGTGACGATTGGTTTAAAGGCTTTCTCTTGAAAGCAAAATATAGACGACTTGAATCTAATTTGTTTTTCCGGAACTGTCTATATTGGAAGTAGTTTAATTATTTTTCGTCAAAGCATACTTTTTTGTGACCTAAACTGAACTATTTGAGCTGAATTATTTAACTATTTAAGCTACTTAAGAATTTTTTGTAAAAATGAGTAAGAGTAGTAGAAAAGGAGATACGTATTGTTTTAAAGTTTACTTTCAAAAACTTCACCTTTTTTTTTTCCTGTGCGGAAATCCTTTCGGATATCACCCTCCGGGGTGATTATGTCGGACTCGAACCGACCAAAAACCGCACCAGTAGCCGGGGAACCAGGTGTACCCTAGAAAGGAAATCCCTGGTACCCTCAAAAACTTCACCTGTATTCTCTATGGCCCATAATACATAATTATGTCTGATGATATCACCCTCCTTGGTATTATACGTTCTCAACTTTATAATCTAAAATATTGAAATGATCCACTTGACTTGACTGCACGGAGGGCGTAGTGGTTTAAGCGGTCGCCACGCCGCTTCCTACTACGCCGAGTGTAATGGGTTCAAACCCCACATGGGACGACACTTATTGTGATCCACAAATTGTTGTTGTCTGAGTGTTCTTTCTGTCCGTTTCATGTATGTTTGTAAAGCGACACAGGATATATTCCTAATGCGAAAGTTGTCTTTTTACATTTTTTTTTTTTTATTAAAACTTCATTTTTAACTTCATAATATTTTCGGTACATCGGAACATCGGAACATCATAATATTTCAGTACCGATAGTTTATATATACCTATTTATAACTGAACATCGTGAATTATAATACAAATAGGCTAATAAGTAAATGAAAAACTGGAAACAATTTTACTGTCGAAGTCCGACCTCCAGGCTTACCATATAGTGTGTATCATAAACAGTCTGCCTTCAATATATTAAACTAGTCCGATTTCAATAAACACTACCTCCAATGACCTTTGAATGTAATACCAATCCGTAATACGCATTAATTGAACTCCGCCCTGTTATAACAAGTTTTACAATTAGACAAGTTCATCTTCATGGACCATCATAATGTCAAGTTATGAAAGTTTGACTAGTCAAGTTGAAGTGGACCGACTTACATCTCACTATAAAATGTTCAGTACATGCTTGATGAGATTATCAGTTGCATCTACAACTTCTGTGAACGAAGATCAAAAAGCTAAGTCATTATGAAATTGATAAGTTAAAAATGAGCCGGTACTTTTAACGAACATTCTTGCCTAATATTTGGTCTAGTAGTAGGTTAACACATTGCAAAGTTAAGCAACCTAGCCAGGTCGCTCCATGGATGGGTGACTATTGTTAGCGCATTGAGACCCCTCCGTGTCTCAGAGAGCACGTTAAGCCGTCGGTTCCGGTTGCCATACGAAAATCTTTGGCAATCGTTACTTGTCAACTGATTCCAGACGATGGCTTCCTCCAAGGAGCACCAACTATCCTAGTCTTGAGCAGTCAAACCCACCCGCTACCAGCCACTTTCCTTAAGTCGCCGGTCCATCATTATTCATTAGTCTATTATTATTATATCAACCTAATTTTATTGTATTATCACACATTACATGACTCATGATAGCAGTCTATAAAAAGACCTATGTTTGCTGAAAATAATATTTTGGATTTTTTATTAATTAAGTATTTATGTCAAATATGTTCTTCCAGATTATTATGTTAGCCGCTGTCACTTTGGCACGAGCTGCCAAATTATTCCTCTATTTATGCCATTAAAGTCCTCGTACAGTTGATATTAAAAATTTAGCGATTTCATCGATCGAAATGATCTCAGTTCCTTGTGAATTCTTCAAGGTCTGAGAATACTTTGAACACGTTCAAAACGTATTCATGAAGTTGACCCATGTTTAACACAGGAATGTTGTTTGCAGAAGTTATTTTTTGTGTTAGAATACATATAGCTGCTGACTTAGTCGTAAATAATTAAAGGTAATCAAAAAATTCTCTTGCAATAATTAGATCATTAAAAAAGTAATTTTTTTTTGATTAATAACTTATCGAGATTTGTTTTTGAAAGTGTCATATATATAATGATCCTAACTTAAGACAAACTATATGTATTTTGTCTACTACATAGGAACCTACAAAGCTGATGTGTTCACCAGCTACAGTCAACAACAGTACTACAATTCCTCAGTCCAGCCCAACAAGAGCAACATAAACTCTGGTGCTGTCCAGAAGACATATCTCCCACCTTCTGCGCAGAAAAATAACTACCAAAGAAACGGATACTGAAGACTTATTAGACCTTTTAAATAAAACTAAGTTTTTTTAAGTTTTACTTTTATTTGCAAATTGCTTCTGAAACCAGAATAATTTCAAAGATTTTGAAACTTTTTACAATCAACAAGTATATGTTGATTTGATCTACAAATATTTGTTTCAAAGTTTGGGTGTTTAAAGGTCATAGCTTATTAGAGCCACCAGGCACCCGACCCGCATCGCCTCGCCACGAGCGGTTAGTATTATTTGCATGGAGTACTCTGGGTAAACGCTAACTACATCAACTCCGGAGCACCTCGCCCACGGGTTGACCACGAGCGTTGACCATGAGTCCGACCGTATATGTCCGAATCCGAGGGGTTTACTTGTAGCCACTGAAGAGTTCAACTTTGTCGAATTCTTCAGTGCCAGTTCTTTTTCGAACCCCTGACAACTCAACATTATCAATTGAGTTCCAATATAGTCCTATCTCTCTAACCTACTGTTAAAATTAACTTGCAAAATTGAAAAGTTGGGTAATTTAAAAATGACAACTTTTCTCCAGGAGTTGAGAGTATGTTTAAAACAATTGAAAATAACTTCTTAACAGATCTATTTATAGATAGGTATGCTATAACATAAATGAAGAAAAGAGGCTAGTAATTTATTTTATTTTCCATTAGAAAATAGGATTTTTGATCCGTGAGTCACATGATTGGAAATACCAATCAGAAAATTTGTCGTAATCGTACCATTTTGTCAACCATGTTCTTCTTAATAAAGAAACGTTTCACATTTTTCACTTACAATAAATTGACATATAAATATAAAATATAAAGTGCTCTGTAGAACGATGATGTGATAATATAGTCACGTGACCATAATGCTGTGTTTTTGTGACTTACTTTTTTTAATTAAAAATATACGTCTTTTATTTGATTTAAGGGTAAAATTATGAATTAAATATTACCTTAATATTTTAGTGTAATATTTTAGACACATGAAGCGTTTATACTACTACTTTTTGAAAAGTTGTCAACTTCGGGATTGTCTTGAAAAATGTGTAGTGGAGAATGAATGTGTGCCGTCTTTTGCAGCCTTATGGAACGAAACGTAAAACTGATCCCATTAAAAATTATTAATTAGTATTTAATTTGTTTCATTTTAACAGTGCCTATTGGGGCAGATAACAAATAAAATAGGCTAAGGTCAACCGCCCGTTGCGGCCAGAGCGGCTGAGCTGGTCACCAAAGGTGATCAACAAGCCGAAGCTGCGGAGGCGAGGCTTCGAACATCGCTGGTTTATATTAATTTTAATCAATAAAATAAGAAATTTTTCCTCAGAATGAAAAATTAAAAAAAGGGGGTCTCTACTTTTCCTTTTCCTTTTTACAGGGGGAGAGGGTCGTACCCCACCCCATCACAATTCCTCCCTTCAATTCGATGGATGTTAATGGAAATTAATTAAAGAATTAATTAAAGATTTCAAACAACGGTTTATTTTAGAACCTTAAATAAAAATTAAAGTTCACAAGTACAATGCATAGCAATTTTCTTTTATCTCGTAAAAAAGGTCTTGAAAAGAAATTTGTCGCTCGTGTTTTTTTTTTACAAAATTAAATGATTTAATGATGATTTAAGAATATCTTTTATTATGATAAAGGTAACGGGTCGAGCTTGAAAGCTCAGAGGGCGGATCAGTCTGCATAACTAATCTGTGAATATTTTTTTTCACAGATTAGTTATGAGAGGCAAAAAGTTTCTTCAATAGCACTTAATAAAGTATGTTTAATATGATACAAATACTACAAAGATTTATGAGTAATATTTCAATGACATGCCATTGAAGTGTTGCGGATAATTAATTATGTTTAACATAGCTAACAAGTTCTACAATTAGACACTTATTTTTTAGATATCTTCGACCTTTTTCACACTTATTATAATGTTATATTTTGAGATAGATTATTAGGTTAGGATAATGATGATTATAGTATGACGTGATATCAGTTTGTTTGACAAAATCGACGTTGGACATAACAAAGCTAGTACCTACTTAATACGAGTATATATAATACGGTAGTTAAGTTGACGCTTGAGGCTTATCGTTATCTTGGGCTTGAATAGAAAAAATCTTCATTGTAAATTGGTTACTTTTAATCTGGTACCGTTTTAGAGTTTTGATGGGCTTAGATTTCTAAGGAGCATCATAGGTACGCCTACTTTTAAACTTTCAATATAATATACGTTGCCTCTACACCCGATCACGGGTTGCCGTTGCAACGGGTCGACTTGAAGGTTCAGAGGTCGTATCTGTTCGGAAGCCCATCAGGCGACAATTTATTTCATTGATTTATTATAAAATGCAAAAAGTTTCTTGAAAAGCGCACAATAAAATTTAAAAAGCTAGTCACAAATGATTACTTGGCATCATAGAGGAATTTGTGTATTTATGTACCTCTGCCTGTGTGTATTTATAAATGTTATATGTATTTAAATGTATTAGTTGTATGTATAATATACTGTAAATGTATATAGTAGTAACCTTATGTTTATTATTAGTATTTTTTAAGTTGTTGTAATAGTACATCGCAGGCTACCCTAATTATTTTTTTGTCAATATCCGTATAAAGATTGTCTGTAAGAGATCGCCGTTAGGGATAAGACCGCCTATTGTTATACCGAAATGAATTTAATATCTGTATATATAATACTTCAATGGTGTACAATAGCCGCTCGTATGCCCCTGTCATGGCGCCCGCGGCGTCCAGAGTGCCCGCGACTCGCGAGCGAGACCGTCTAGATTGCCCCGGCACAAATACCGACCACCCGTAAAGTGCCCCACTGTTTTTTGCGTTATCGACGCGCGCGCCGTGTTCCACTTAATCGGTTCTTGTGACTAAAGTTTATATTGAAAGGGTGTCAAGTGTTATATTTATTTAGTTGCCTATGAAATTAGCTAAACAATGTTATCTTTCTATTTACAGATTACGGCTCTGGTGTTGAGTTACACTGTGTTGAAATTGAGATAACGTCTTTTTAAGCTCGTGTTGCACTTCGAAGCTCATAGTTCAAAAATGAAAGCGATGACCTATGGTTTTTAATGTTTAATTATGTTGTTTAGATAGTAGTTAATATATTATGAAATAAAACCATATACTCTCCCATACATATTTATTTATTTACAGGCCTCTAAATCCTTACCATTATCGGCCGCCACGCGGCATAATTTATGTAAGACTTAACAAGGCATATCGTACACAAATATCATTGTTAGGAATATAAATAAGGTATAACTATATAAGTAGTCTTATATTCTTTTATTACAATCAAAAACAATAGGGATAACATACACCACTTTTGAATAATATGAACATTTCTGAAACAGTTCCCATGCTCTCAGTAACATAACTTAGTTTTCCAGATGTTTTTTGTTCTACATACTAAACAAAACAAAAATAACATTAACATTGCCTTATAATACATTTAAAACTTTAAATTTCACCAACACACAAAATAATATCACAAAGAAATTCCAACACAGTCACTGCACGGAACGATTCGAAGACTGATGAAATGACAGAAGTTTTATGACGTATAATTCTTTTTTTTACTAGTGTTTGCATGCTCGACTGAGATTAATACCATAGATAATATATCAGACTATAGAAAAAATATTACTAAAGAGCATTATGTCAATACAATTACTGTCAAATACTAATTAATCTGTGGCAGGAGCCATGTAGACTACCGGTCTACACGGGCACTTTACGGTTTTATTTTTGTAGACTACTAGTCTACACGGGCACTTTCCGTTTTTATTTTTGTAGACTGCTAGTCTACACGGGCACTTTAGGATTTCGTTTTTGTAGACCACTAGTCTACATGGGCATACTAGCGGATAAAGAGATAAATAAAAAAATTAAATATCAAATAAAGTATGTTAAATTTGATATAAATTCGACAGAGATTTATGAGTAATATTTCAATGACCTGCCATTGAAGTGTTGCAAATAATTAATTATGTTTAACATAGCTAATAAAAACAAGTTCTACAATTAGACTTCCTTTTCACATTTATTATAATATATATCATATTTTGAAGGCTTGCTAATTATTTATATTCAATTTATTCGAGGTACATATATAAATATAAAATACAATAGCTTTTAAAAAGCCACACGTGGGAGAGCCATGCCACTGCACGAATGGGCCGGCTCGACCGGAGTGATACCACGGCCTCACAGAAAACCGGTGTTAAGCAATACCTTCGTTGCCTTTCACTGAGTGAGTGAGGTTACCGGAGCCCAAAATAAAAATAAAAACTTTTAAAGTACCCTTTGGTCCCTTTGACTTATTTTCGGCTAAAAGATACGCTATGCAAATTGCAGTATACCCAATGTATTTGCAAAATTTTATGTCAAACAAACATTGATTTTTATAAATCTGAAGGGCCTAATTTAAAATAAGTACATGCATATTTGTACATAATTATGTGAATTGAATTTGAATTTTAAAAATACAACTCCAGCACTAGGAATGTATCCTTTGTCGCGGGGGACTTCACAAACATACATGAAACGGACACAAAGGACACCCAGATCCAGAACAACAATTTGTGGATCACACAAAGTGTCGTCCTATATGGGAATCGAACCCAAAACACTCAGTCCAGTAGGAAGCGGCTCGGCGACCTCTTAAACCAATACGCCATCCGTGCCACTAATACTATAAAAAATGCATCCACAACTAACTATACTATACAAAATAAAGATGAAACTGGTAACATTTCATGCTAATATTTCAATAACAATAATTATTTTTGTTTTGTGAAAGATTCAAATAAACCAAGGTAAAACTCACGAGAGAAGATGAAAAATCATCAAAGTAGAAGTTGAAAAACATCTGAAGGATCTTCTTCCTCCGAGTATTTGTCCCAACCTAAGTTGGGGTCTTCTTTAAGTATACTACGATATGGCTGTACTTCGATTTATACGCGGTGTGACTACCATTAGACCTCCAAAACCCAAGTACGGCGGTATCGAAGCTCTGTAGAAAGACTGTTCTCGGACTATTTAGGGCTCAAAAACATCTGAAGGATCAACTGGCAAAAATTAATTATTAATGCATATAAATATGCATGCATATTAATGATAAATGCATGTTTAAAATTAGTATCAGATGTCAGTTTTGGTTGAGAGTGTTTTTGTTTTTCATAAATGTACTATGCTATGATTTTGGCGTGTATTGTACGTTAAAGTATTATACCGATATAATAATAAAGCTTCATCTAAATAAGATTTTAGAATATTTTTCAGTGTATTCCTTCTTTGATTACGTAGGCAAATATTAGAAGTATTTTATTAATTTTATAAAAGTTTCTACAAAACCTACCGCTTTCATCAATAATATAAAACAATTATATATTTTACTACATAAACACAACGCCATCTAGTCCTACACTAAGTTGAGCTTGTACTATGGCTACTAGACAACTGATATAAATACGTTATATACTTTTGTTTTGTAAATATATACTTATTATACATAGAAACACCCAGACCAAATCAATCATTAAATGTTCATGCACACAAATGTTTGACTTGAGCGAGAATCAAACCCGCGACCATTGGAATTGCAGTCCGTTACACAAACCACTATGACATCCGGTCGTCAATCAATATCATCAATCATCATTAATACTAATAATAGAAATGTAAATAGATGTCCATTACTCAATTATGCCGCGCTTTACGGAATAAGATGCAATTTTGTAAAAATATAGATTATAGGTTGAAAATGGTGATTATAGTATGCCGTGATTGACAAAATCGAGTTTGTTTGACAAAATCGACGTTGAACATTACAATAATACGGTAGTTAAGTTAAGGCGGCCAGTTACCTTATCATTTTAGGATTGAATTGAATTTGAATTGAATTACATATAAATATTACTCGATATTCTTTAATATGACTCTTAGTTAACGATTCGTGATATTGACATTACGAAGCTGTAGGAAGATAATTTTTGTCTTATTGCAGAATAAGTTTTTTACAGGGCGAGGTAATTAAAATATATAACACATTAGTAGCGGTTTAATGAAAGGTTACCTCCTAGGATTAAAATTCAACCGTATCGTTATATATATATCAAAAAGGGGGTCGAATTACGAACATTTTGAATGTGTTCGATTTTGAATATATAGATTTTGTACGTATAACTTATTTAACATAATAATAATAATATTCTTAGTTTAGGAAAAGTTGTCTTTCAGGAGTTTGTATAATATATTTTGTAGGGAACCATCTTATATCTACAAATCAAAACACAAAGTTGCTTCAATAAAATATTATATGTAATAAAATCAGTACTTAATAGTTATAACCGTTTCTAGAATTGAAGTTTCCGTTACCCCTATTTAATGGAGGGAGGTAGGTCTTTTCCAAGGAGTTCCTGTTGTAAGCAGCTCCGCTGCGTGTAGCCGAGTTGATGACGACGGAGTTATCATCGTTGTTCACAGACTGTGCATTAGTATTGTAGAACTGCTGTTGATTGTTGCCAGCGGCGGTGTATTTGGCTTCATTGTAAGATCCTGGAATTCAAAGAAATAATGTAAGCATACTGAGTAGTAGCCTTAAGGAAACTCTTGGTCTTGAAGTGGCTCGAAAGAGAAAGCATATGTGCAATAACTGTCTACATATAAATACAGATTTAAAGATACTTAACAGAAATAAATACTAAAACATTTTAATTCGGTCATCAAAAATTTGATAAATTCAGTTTATATGCGTACCATCGTCGTAAATACCAGCAGCCTCATCAGCAGCGTTCTTCTCCAGGGCCCTCATAATTTCTTCAGGAATAGGAGGAGCAGTAGGAATGTGATCACCTTGGGGGACAAATCCGTTTTCATCAGCTGTATATCTGTAAAATATATTAAATGTTGAACTAAAAATAGGTAGCGATTTATAAGTCTGGTGGCATACAGACATATCGCTGTACAATCGATTTCGGCAAATTATGAACCTTAAAATTAATCTAGGATTAGAATTTTCAGTATCAGCAGTACTATTTGTATATAGCTGAACATGATTATGTGGCTATGAGACGAATATATTATTTTTAAGAATTTTGTTTAAATTATTTACGTTTACTAGATTTAATCGCTTTGTCAAGTTACTCACCTTATAGAGTAGACTATGCCATCATCACCAGTGTAAGAGTATTCGCCCTGAGCTTGGACACCATTAGACGCTACTCCGTTTTCTACAGCATAAATACCGTTCTCAGTCTCGTAAGCATAGGAGTAAGTTTCTCCATCATTTGAGTTGTCCTGGCGAAGAATAGCAGCATTTCTCTCTAATGCAGCTTGTGCACGTTCAGGACGACCATCGAAACCTGAATAAGCGTTCTGAGCGTAGGCATTTGTGTTGAGAGGTGCATTAGAGAAATCATTCTGTGCCTGGCCATTTTTAAACGACTGGCGAGGAGTCTGAAGAAGATTAGCAGAACCCGCTGACGCGCGAGCGTTGGGTGGAAGATACACGCGGTCTAGTTTGGCAGCCTGCGCCAGTGCGACAGCAGCTAAAACGATAAACTGAAAAGCAAAATGATAAATGAGCAAAAAGTGAATATTCATGAATAGGCCAGTTCATGTCCCGTTTAATAGTAAATGATTGGGGATGCCTATAAATTATTGCAATATTAGAGTTATCACTGGCGTGCTCACTAACCCTATCTCCCGTAGGCTGATCTTATCCTTTAGTTGGAATACAATAGTGTGGCACAATTTAGTTCTATTATTCTCTGCACGGATGGCGTAGTGGTTTAAGCGGTCGCCACGCCGCTTTCTCTTACCTCGAAGTGTTGTGGGTTCAAACCCCACATGGGACAACATTTTGTGTGATCCACAAATTGTTGTTCTGAGTCTGGGTGTACTTTATGTCCGTTTCATGTATGTTTGTAAAATCCCCCGCGACACAGGATTTATTCCTAGTGCGGGAGATGTCTTTTTAAAAAAGAAAAAGAAAGGAAAAAGAAAAAGATTATCCCTTGGTCACCTCCGGTGGTTCGTCTGCTTTATTGGATGGATTTGGTAAAAAACTGAACTAAAATATATTCATGAACGTCTTACCAATTTCATGTTTATATTCAGTTAATGTCTTTCTCCACAGAAGCTCAGTTCACAACTGATAATCTTATCTTACTTTTGCAGTATATATAGTTCATTGCGTCTTGATCGACATCAAACGAAGTCGTGGCCAAGGTTTCATAATCTCACCATTATGATACTGTATGAAGATGAACTTCGCTAATTGTTAAACCTGTTTATGTGCTGAAGTAATGTATCGAATGGTAGTAGATACTGATGCATCAAAGGTCATAGTATAATATCGTAATTAGTTTATATTGAAATTGATCCAGTTTTTCTTTGTAAGTATATGTCAAGGTCCATTGTGCCTATAAGACCGTCCTATTTCCTGGTCCTCTATGTTCCTGTCAATTGTGTTTTTAAGTCAAGCAATGTTCAGTAACAGAAGTAAGAAATAATCACTAGATAATTAGCATGTAAAACTTAAAATTATGGCTGTCTACAGAAATTCTACAATAACTCTTTTCTTAGTTTTTATATAAGATTACTTCCATGACACAATATTGCCATGTCGAATTTACGTATACAATTATCAAACATGAAACGCCCCTCGTTTAAAAATATAGATTGTGAACAATTTCATCAACAACATCAACAGCCTATACTAGTCCACTGCTGGACATAGGCCTCTCCTTAGAAAGGAGGTTTTGGCTTACTATACCACGCTGGCCAGACGGGTTGGTATAGGGTTTGTTTCAAGTTTTCCTTCTCTTTGCAGTGCTGTTGTCCTGCTTAGTTTGCTCCCTTAGTCGGCTCTTACGACACCCACGGGATGAATTGTGGTGACGGATTAAGAATACAAATTGTCACCACCCCAATTCATCCCGTGAACTATTTAGGTACTATAAAATTTGCAGCCAGCAACATGCATTGTGTGCCAAAACACTTCAACTACTGACAAGCTTGTCTCATCATCAAACCCTCAATAGGTTTTACGATTTACCCGAACGGATGTCTGATCACGTTGACGGGTATACTACACAAATACGAATTTCATAATTCCGAATGGTTTAAAATTCCTAAAATAACAACTAAAATTGATCATTCATTCTATTTTTATTATTCAAAGATTTCAATAATCCCAATGTTAATAATTACAATGTTTAAATATCGAATAAATAGATCAAATAACAAAAAGTACGAGTTAATGGTAATTCGAATAACTAAAAATTCGAATTTTTCTATTTTCTTTCGAATAAAAATATTAAAAACAAAGTAGAAGTTAAAAATACACAAATATTAATAACAAAGTAGACGTTTTAAAATTACATATAAAGTTACTGATGGCTTTTGAATATATTTGCGCAACTGAATCAGAATATTATACTTTCTAAGGAGAGGCCTATGCCCAGCAGTGGACTAATAGAGGTTGGTGATGATGAATCAAAATAAAAAATTTAATTCTCTTGTTCTCGGTCCGATTTTCTTTTATTCATTAAACTGCTAAAATCGGAACGAGAAGACATCGAGCACTTGATTCTTCGAATGTATAAAAATCGGCAAACAAACTTATTGCATTTACGACATTCAGTAAAATAAATTTCGTGAATTTTAATAACAGAAATTATAATTCTTAGGTATTATGAAATTAGGACTTTTAAAAATTGAAACTTATTGAAATTATTGAAATATTTGGGTGTTCATCACATTGACAGTGCCAAGTACAGCAGAACTGCCGCGAACTGGTATTAAAATCGAATGTAAATGTAGGTACATACATAATATAGATAAAGTACACGCAGACACAGAACAAATGACCATGCTCATCACACAATATTTGTCCTGGGTGCCAATCGATCCCACGACCTTCGGCTTAGCAGTCAGGGTCTTCAGCAATGAATGGCTTATGGAATTTGTAACTTAACAAAACATTTTTTAATGGTGAAGCGTGAAAGAAAGTTTAAATTTTCACCTCCTGATGATCAACATCAGCCCTATGTTTCGCATTCGTAAAGATAAAGATTCACATAAAAGAATCATATGCTCAGTTATATATAACTACATAATTAAGTCCGAGGGAATTATTACGCTAAAGAGTTATTTTATCCATCTCCTGGCTACTTTATTGGACCCACTCCAAGATTTTAAAATCTAGTACCGTCACCTGAACTATATAAACAGACAAATAATAATAATAATATTTTCGGACATCTGACACAACTCCATCTAGTTTGAAACTAAGCAGAGCTTGTACTATAAAAGCTAGATTGACTGCATACATATTATACATATAAAATATCCAAACTCTGAAACAAATATTTGAAGATCAAAACAAACATTTAGTCCCAGGAATCGAAACGGAGACATCAGCCATGCAGTTGCATACGCTACCACTGCGCCACTGAGACAATCAAACAAATTGCATTTCGACATTTACGAATAGATTGAAATTTCTTGTTGTTTTTTATTTACCTAGTTAGTAATAAAAAAAGTAAAGTTAGTAAAAGCGTTCTAAATATGAGGAACGCTGGTCTAAATATGAATACTTAATTTTTTTAAAGTGCTTCATATTTCAGTAAGTATGTTCTTATCCTACCATATCTACACAGAGCACAAAGTATTTGCAGCCTTGAACTTTGCTAATGATGGCAGCACCAAATAACTGGACCAATTACATCTATATTTGGAGTTGCGATCCAATGATTGATTGTGGTAAAGTTGAGATACATGCTCCGAGCGACTTCGAATGAAGGGTATAGCATGGTGATGCTTTAGGCCGTCTGTGAATTATCATCATTAAACTATTTATGTAATTATGTGTTGCTTTTTAGTTGCATTAATGTGTATTACTTGATAGTCAAGTCGTTAAGGCGTTCAACTGCATTGACGTAGGCGTGAGTTCGAGACCCACTTAGTCCTTTTGCCTGTGTGTGTAGTGGTTAGTCATCCTAACTGTTGTACCAGAGATCATGGGTTCGATTCCCACCCAGGACAAATAATTGTGCGATAAGTACGATAAGTTGCTTGGGTGTAATTCATGTACATAGGCAAAGCACAGGTTCTGCCTGTTTTGTGAGATATGCCAAATTAAAAAACAAGCTTTAAATTTTGTTTCGGACGTGTGTTTACAAGACTTAAAACTTATGCTATGCTAATACCTCCATAATATCATAGCATAAAACCTCTTAATATGTAACGATAAATTATTACAATTTAGTAAAATTTCCAAAATTTATTCTATATTTCTTGACGATCTGAAATCCACATGCCAACATCATTGCGTTGCGAAAAACTACGGCAAATTACAATGAATGAATGAATATGACAAAGGAGACATGTGGTGCGTTTTAAACGGAACTAGGTCAGGATGAAATCAAAACAGTTTATCTAGGATGAGTCAAACAAATACACAATCTAAGTTCCATACAATTCGAGAACCCCTAAAATATCTACTTTCGCTTTAATTATATTGTTATTTACTATTTAATAACTAATATGAAAGTAAAAAATGTACACTTTTACTAAGGATTAAACAAAAAGTATAGCTGTTTGTGATTATCAATCTTCTCAGATCAAAATCTCTTAATTTGCCCATTATTGCTTTAATTTGTTTTTTACATTTCACATGTTTAATGTGTCTTAAATTGTATTTGAACAATATTTATATGCTTTGTCATCAACAGCCTTTAGTAGTCCATTTCTGGACATCGGACTATCCTTAGAAATGAGGTTTGATTATAGTATAGTGGAGGGAGGATGAAGCATGTGGTAGGCAAATACTTAATTACTTCTATGGGGTAGAGTTTTCTTACCAGGTTGAACTGAAGCTTGAACTTATTACGAATTTACGACTTCTCTCCAATGAGATCTACCAGTACGATATGTTGATAAAATTATGGGTTCTGTAGGATTGGCATTCCTCTCCAGTAAAATTAAAGCTTGTAGCAGATTGGGGTTTATTTTGCAATACAAGAAAAAGTATGACTGTGTAATGTGCAAAACGATACTTTTTATTCAATTAGATAATTTATTCAATATAATTTAAAGTATATTTTAGGAAGGCTCCATTTAGTAAGTGTAGCCATTCCTAGCATTGTATTTGCTATTTCTTTGGTTCTGATTCCTCTGAACCTAAGGTGGTGGTAAGTTTTCTCAATGGACTGTTTGATGAAATCATGACAATAGAGTCTTTTTTATAGTTGATAAGCTGAGTGTTCGTGTTGTAGTACTGTTGTTGGTTGTTGTAAGTGGGAACGTCTTTGGATGATCCTGAAATTAAAAACGATACTCTTTTAAATTTTGCTTTTCAAATCATGTCTAAATTTATCAGTTTGTATAAAATACTTACCGTCATCATAAATATCACAGGCCTTATCACGAGCATTCTACTCTAAGGCTTTCAGAATTTCTTCCAGGATAGGTTGAGATGTAGGTAAGTGATCACCTTGTGAAACAAACCCTGTTTCATCAGCAGTGTACCTATCAACACGAAATGTCGTCGAATAATAAAAATCATCACAGCTTTAATATATGGCATATAATAATATTTTGCCTAATTACATTCTTTACGAACGAAAATGATCATTCTTTGAAATGCTTTCTCTTATAACCCTATAACTTTAGGTATTATAGAAAATTAACTCACCTCACTCAATAAATTTTGTCATCATCCTAACTTTAAGAAGTCCCGCCTTGTGCTTGAACACCATTAGTAGCCACTCCACTTTCTTCAGCATAGATCCCATTCTCAGTTTCGTAAGCAAAAGAATAAGTTTCTCCATCATTCGTGTTGTCTTGGCGGAGAATAGCAGCATTTCTTTTCTAATGCTTGAGCACGTTCAAGACGAGCATGAAATCCTGAACAGGCATTCTAAGAGTAAGCATTTGTATTGAGAGGTGTCTTAGAGAAACTGTTTTGCGTCTGGCCACCGTTGAGCAACTGGTGAGAAGTCTGAAGAAAGTTAGCCGAACCTGCTTTAGGTGGGAGATATACTCGGTCCAAAAATCAGATCAGATTAGAAAGACTGATAAGATAAAGCTAAGATAAAAAGCCAAAGCCAAAATAATTTTTGAGAAAATTTCTATTCAACCATTGCTCAGTTTCCGAAGACATCTTCAATGTGTTTAAGTTTACTGTATTAAAACCTCATGCTCTACAGGCCTGATCTTTATCGATTCGACGGTACTCTGAACTAACAGTTTAGCACACCAAAAAAGATTTTTTGTTTCCACCACAATTATAATTTGTCTGTTCATATTTTGAAGTTGCTACACTAAACCTCTATTTCTAACTGATAGCATCATCGTACTCAGTTCAGTATATTTGTAGTTCAGTGCAACTTGCATTATTTAAATTCAAATCGTGGCTAATATTTGTTAATGCTTCTGCATAAATATGGACCAATCTAATTGTACTGCCTGTGTTACTCATCGCACGCTGGTCAAAGGCCGTGGTGAAGGTAGTTTGTATTAAAACTGATCTACTTTATTTAATTGATATGTTATCAAGGTTATCTTATGGTCTTCCTATGTTTCAAGTGCAGCATGGAGTGAAAGTCGTAACTCACACAATCATATGTTGCGAGATTAATTTATCATATTAATCGATAATTAATTGTAGCTCATCAATAAATACTTCATTTAAATTATTTTAGTGCGCATCTATTGTCAGTATCATCTGAAGATTCTGGAAATATAGCAATTTTAATTTTGAAATAATTTTAGCTAATTTTTTCACTCATTGTCTTTAGATATCTTTTAAATATTTAATAAAATCAGATGTAAATTTTCCTGTGCAACTGAAAAGAAGTCAGATGAGAAAATTCGGTGTATAAAGATAGGTAGATGAGAACGAAAGGCAAAGGTAGGGAAGGAATATTGCTTATGTCAATGGATTAGGGAACGTATAACAAGTCAGGGTTGCATGTGTCGAAATTCGAATTGGCTATTACCGAAAAGTCAGAGACTTCTAAACAAATTTATAAAAAAACAAGACAAATTTTACAAATATAGGAACTTATATATTAATATGTGAGCATAACAAAGACAGATTGGAATATTAATATATTCTATAAGAAACTCGTAAATGTGAAATGATTAATCACCGACATTATCATCATCAACAGCCTTTAATAGTCCACAACTGGACATAGGCCTCTCCTTAAAAAGGAGGTTTTGGCCTACTACGAGTATACCACGCTGGCCAGATGGGTTGTATAGGGTTTGGGTCAAGTTTTTCTTCTCTTTGCAGTGTTTCCTTCTCTTTGTTTGCTCCCTTGGTCGGCTCTTACGAAACCCATGGGGTGGTGACACTCCGTATTCTTAATCCGTCACCACACGGATATTTTACATTTATCCTAATATGTGAATATAACAAAGATAGTTTGGAATAATAATATAATATAATATAATATTCTCATATATCTTACATATATATATATATAGTAGGCCAAAACCTCCTTCCTAAGGAGAGGCCTATGTCCAGCAGTGGACTAGTAAAGGCTGTTGATGATGATGATGATGATACATCTTACACACAGCCACACATATGATTACCAGACTGCTGAGAAACATATTTATATATTTCTAAATACATACATATTATAGATGAAGTACACCCAAACACAGAACAAATGACCGTGTCATCACACAATTATTTGTTCGGCGTTTAAATCGAACCTACTGGCGTAGCAGTCAGGGTCACTAACCACCAGATCAACAGGCCAGTCGAAAAAATAAAAATATAATTGTACATTAAAATATTCCATAAAAAACCTGTAAATTGTGAATTGATTCTACATATATTTAAAGCAGCAATATGAAGCACTTAGCTAATAGGTGTAGCGTCATTTGATCTTACAATTATCTCGGAGTTTTGTCGGCACAATCTATTTTTAATACTCTACTACTATTTAGTTAAGCTGAAATGTTATATTTTGCTCTAATTGTTGTTGTTTTTTTTTTTTTTAATAAAACTTTTCGATCCCTTCACTTAAAAAAAGTCGATACGGGTTTAATAAGCTGCCTTCTCAGGAGTGTCAGTCTCAGTGCGTTGATTAGTAGGCTTAAAAACTTTTCCTTAATTTTCTCAGTAAATTCCCGCAGTAGGTACCCGGTTTACCACAACTGACTCACCCCCTATTATATCTTTATTTTTTTAACAACTCCCGCACTAGGAAAATATGCTGTGTCGCGGAGACCGAACACACAGACATTTATGAAACTGACACAAAGAACACTTAGGCTCAGAACAACAATTTGTTGATCACACAAAGTGTTGTCCCATATGGGGATCGAACCCACAACCATCGCAGTAGGAAGCGGAGAGGTGAAAGCTTAAACCACTACGCCATTCCTGCAGTCAATATGAATCGGACTAAATAATAGTCAGTAAAATGTGAGCATTTTACACCTTAATTTTTTTTCCGTGCGGAAATCCCTTCGGATACCACCTATCGGTAGCATGTCGGACTCGAACCGACTAAAACCGCACGCCGTCTCGGGCACTAATAGCCGGGGAACCAGGTATACCCTAGAAAGGAAGTCCCTGGTGCCCCGACATACCTCGGGCCATCTACAACAACAGGTAGACGACCCCCCCCCCGTGTGGGAACCCCATGTTCCCTCTGCTCCCTGAAAGCGAGCGCGCTTCGCAACGCGCTCGCCGCCACCACGGCCTGCTTCTGCTAGGGTGACAGATGGCCTCACCTGTCACCCCCAGGCCTGCGCTTATGGAGGACGGAGGTCGTTCTGCCACCTCCGGCGCCTGAGTCGCCTGCGGTACCTGGCCCGTTCCGGGGCCTGGCGGGCCGGGAGAGTCCTAAACCTCTCCCGGTCCCTTGCTCGCAGAAGGAGACAGCAGAAAGCATTTTACACCTCTGCCTATCTGCCTATTTTGTAACTATATACATTATTTAAAAGTTTAAGATTTCTGAACCTCTACACATTATTATATGCATAAAGTGTTCCAAACTATAAAATCCTTCCGTGCGTCATATTTGTTGTTTAAGAAGTGGTCAGAAATTTAAATGAATGTGATATCATACGGCCAGAATTTCTTGTAAATATTTCTGAAGGATTTTTGATTATATCGATTTTGCTTAACAGGATCCAATTGATTTTTCAAAATAATAACGTGTAAGAAGACAAACCACTCCAAACACATTAATACTTTGTGACCTTTAGTCTACATCTTCAGTACCATGTATAGGCGTATCTTAAATCTTGATCATATTAACATTTATCTGTTACGCGCAACTTGTATCAAAAATATTATGTGCTGCTTACACGAAGAAATACTTTACATATTTCTCAAGGTGTACCCCCTATGAAATTCAAAATTCAAATGAATCTTTAAGAAATTCACATTTCGCATTGTATGTGTGAAAAGAAAAAGATATTGCATCATTAAATATTATTCAATATTTACATCTAACAATTAACCTAAAAATCAGCATGATTCAGTATCTGTAACCATCTCTGGAGTTGTAGTTTCTTCTGTTGTTGTTCTGCTGAGCAAACGGAGGAAGGTAAGTTTTCTCAATGGTGTTTTTTAAATCACCATCGTTACGGAGACCAGCGGAATTGATGTTGAGAGAGTCTTCATTGTAGTCGATAGGCTGTGCATTGTTATTGTAGTACTGTTGCGAGTTGCTATCTGCTGCACCGTATTTAGCCTCGCTGTAGGATCCTGTAGGTTAAAAGTATACGTTAAGAGACAGTTGAAAAAAGGCAATACCAGAATAATTACTTTATAGGTTCACTGGTCTTCACCAGATGTTCTAAAAACAACGCCACAAATACCTGTTCTTTTTTCTTTAAAAAGACAACTCTCGCACTAGGAATAAATCCTGTGTCGCAGGGACTTTACAAACATTCATGAAACGGACACAAAGGACACCCAGACTCAGAACAACAATTTGTGGAACACACAAAGTGTCGTCCCATGTGGGGATCGGACCCACAGCGTAGTAGTAAGCGGCGTGGCGACCGCTTAAACCACTACGCCACCCGTGCAGTCAAATCTTTGTGGACAAAGTTCCTGTTTTTATTTGATTTTACGCAAATACTTGTAAAGTTGCTAATTTTGCTTTTCTGGTGGTATTACCAAAAATACTAAACTACTACTCACCATCATCATAAATGCCTGCAGCTTCATCACGTGCATTTTGTTCTAAAGCTTTCAGAATTTCCTCAGGAATGGGAGGAGGAGTGGGTAGGTGATCACCTTGTGGGACGAAACCGTTCTCATCAGCTGTATATCTGAAATATAAAAATTAAAATTTGAAAAGCTTCATTTTAAAAAACGGTTTTAGTAACACAAAAGAAGATATCTAGTTTCTTCTTTTATTTTAATTGTTTGAACGTTGACTATTAAAAATATATTAAAGCGGGTTTTACGTTTCTATCACACTAGAAGCTACAGGTTTTAGACCACAAAAAAATACCTCACGGTGTAAACATTTCCATCATCTCCTGTGTATGTATACCCGCCTTGGGCCTGTACGCCATTAGTGGCCACTCCATTTTCTTCAGCAAAGATACCATTTTCTGTCTCGTAAGTATACGAGTAAGTTTCTCCATCATTTGAGTTGTCCTGGCGCAGAATAGCGGCGTTTCTTTCAAATGCAGCTTGTGCACGTTCGGGACGAGCTTCAAAATCAGAGAAGGCATTCTGACTGTAAGCGTTTTCGTTGGAGACAGGTGCATTAGCGAAGTCATTGCTATTTTCTTCTTGTATCCCATTATTGGACTGGTAAGGAGTCCTAAGGAAATTGTCTGACCCTGAGGCTGCTTGAGCATTTGGTGGCAAATAAACTCTGTCCAATTTGGCAGCCTGTGCCAAAGTGACAGCAGCTAATATGATAAACTGAAAGTGAATAAACACTTGAATTTTAAAGTACTCTGTTAATTATAATGTTAATATGATGTGTTAAATGTATTATGCCTTACAAATTTCATTTTCCTTTCGTTTCTTTTGTTAGAACTTTAGTGGCAGATGTTCGCTTTGCAACTGGTAACCTTATAATATTAGAACAGTATATATAGTTGGGTGCAATTAAGTCTACTTCGCGTCAATCGTGCTGATGTTTCATAATCACGACACAATGATTATGTAGGAAGATGGACTTATCTAATTGGGTGGATGGTATAATGTACCATTGTCTTGTCCATTTTTTTTAAATTAAAACATTACAAAGATCGTTAAATTTTCTAGGTAAAGAACTGTCCTGTAACTTTTTTATTTAATTATGAATAATTCAATACTGTAACCTTTTTTTTGTTACTATGATTTTAGCTGAGTATCGTTATTGCCAAATCCCTTACATTTATTTTAAAAGAGTACGTTTAAGGCCCAGTAGTTAAACTTTATTGGGTTGCCATCGTAAATATATTTTTTCCTGTAATGTAAACTGCATCTATTTATCACGTGCAGATTCAGAAAAATTAAAATTCTCAATCCTTTTCGTTACCAATATGTTTGTTATTCTTCTGTGAATAAAATGTTAACAGTTAAAAAAAAACATTGTTAAGACAAATTTTAATCTTAATTTTAATGACTTTTTATGGCAATTGGCTTTTTACGAGTATATTTTCCTCTGTACTTAGCAGCAATTACATGTCGTAAATAAGTCTAACGAATGAAAAAGAAATGATTTAAAAAGAAATACGTTTTTGGAGACTGTTACGATATCATTACTTTAATTTGGTATAAACAGCTCGTTCCTACCTTAAAAAACATGATAATTTCCGTTTTTTTTTTTTATTGAAACGCACGCACTTGTAACTTTTGAGTTGCAGGGGCCCATGGTAGTCTCACTAGTAGGTACGTGAGATACCATATTTCCGTCCCTTTTCACACAACCACTGCCACTGATTCCCGGAAAGTGAGAGGAAAGATGTTAAACATCAATAATATTAAATTTACAATTAACTTATATATTGGTTCTATCTCGCATAATGCATTTGACACACAAATCCTATTTGAATGGTTGTACAGGTAAGCCCACTATGCTTACGTTACGATAGCGCATCAATTTTTGACCTTGCCATGTAATACATTCCAATGTGAACTTCTTGGTAGGGTAACCACAAATTCAGACGCAGACGAGCCATATTAGTTTTGTGCTGAATTAAGAATACAGAGTATCACCATCCCTATTCATCCCGTGTGTGTCATGAGAGCCTACTTAGGGAGCAAACTACTCAGGAAAACAGCACTACAGAGAAAAGGAAAACTTGACACAAGCCAACCACGTCTGGCCAGCGTGATATAGTAGGCCATAACCTCCTTTCTAGGAGAGGCCTATGTACAGCAGTGAACTATCAAAGGCTGTTGATGATAATACATTAATTTTAGTAAAAAAAATTCAAAGGTCAACAGACTTACTTATTTTTCCTAATATTAAAACATTTGAAGACCATGACTTGAAGTTTGGACAAGCGCTGTAGAAGACAAAAAGTGAATTTAAAGATGATTATAAAATCTCTTTTAGCCCGTCATCAAATTGTAATTATTTATCTACTACTGGCACACTACTTTCAAGGAGAAGATTTCTCTGACTAAGCAAACTAGTTCGAGTACGATAGGGAGAACTACAGTACACACTAAGGCCTTTTTTTGTTCTTTTTTTTCCTGAAGATTGAAAATAATTGTGAGATGTTAGAATTTTTGGTACATGTCTTCGAAGCAAATGAAATTGTTAAAATAAACATAATAATTTAAACAACCCATATTGAAATAAGAACAGTTTGACGCACGTACTAAGCTGAGATGTTTTGCTTTATTATGATAGGCCAATATCCGCAATAATCACGTCATTATCATCATCGTGTTATCCTCCGGGCCGTATGTCTAATGTCCAGCCTCCCTGGGGATGTAACTATTGTCAGGCAACAAAAGAATGCAAATTTGGGTAAGAAAAATGTTAATTTGTGATGGAATTCAAAATAAAACTACAACTGGCTTAAAACTCTTAATTTTTGAAAAGGAGGTTTTCTACTCCGTTGTATTTTCTATGTTTGTAATCTTTAAACTCATTCATTTGTCAACCGTTTAGAGAATAAATTTAGTTTTTTTTAGGGTAGGTTTTTCCATTTGATGCCATTCAAATTTGAAGATTAATACCACAACTAAAGATAAAAAATGTAAGAATGAAGAATGGATTTTGATGATGAATGAATGATGAATGATATCTTAACAACATCAATTCAAAAAGTGCTTTTTAGTCATACAAACTGCCAGAATGTGTGGTAACCCTACATGACCTTACTACATATTATGTACATAGGTATATAGATCGGCTTCCGATAGACGCGTGATAGTCGATCGTGATTAATTAAATTTTACCAAACGCTTAAAATAACACAAGCGATTATGTTTTCGAAATGAGTCGTTTTACATTCATTAGGTCAAAGTACTTAAAATTGCAAACACTTTGCGAAAAGAGTTTGTAATATTGACTTTGAATGAGGTATTGAAAGTAGGTTTATTTTTCTTTGCTACTGTTACTGTTACCGATAAAAACAAGTACATACATACGCATATATTTCTAAATACATATTATATTATAGATAAATTACACACACACAGAACAAATGATCGTGCTCATCGTATAAGTATTTGTCCTGGGTGGGAATAGAACCCACGATCTCTATCTTAGCAGTCGTGATTACTTACCACTAGACTAACAGGCGCGTCCTCGTCAACGGATATACTTTTAATTACTGTAAGATGATTGTCTAACAGTAATTACCATATTATCATAGGTTGATCTGTAGAAGGGTACTTTTCCCAGGGACTTACCGATTTATCATAGTAATATTATGCATTACTTTTATTAGTTGACCCAATCAAGCTCCTTTCAGAAGTGCTAAAGCCTCCTGGGGCGTTTACAGGTTTCTAGGAGCGATTTTGTATCAGGTATGATGCTTGACCGTTGTGTGGCCACTCCCTCGCATTCCAGGATATGTACGAAAGCTGAAAACTTCCTTCCGACTGACGCAGGTCCTGGGCTGCTTCGAAAGGTACCTACACTTGATCGCTAGGAGGGAATTGAGTCCCGCCTGTCATCACTGCGATTGCAGTGAGGAGTCGGCTCAGCACACGCTGGTAATTTTGTCCGGCTTACAGTCCTCCGGGTCCTCATTACAGTCATCGCAGGGGACCTCTCGCTACTAGCCGTCATACGCTCCATGACTGGTAGTTACAAATATTTTACCGAGGTGGCATCCTTCTGTGAAGACGTCATCTCGCAGAAGGTGGCGGCGGAGAGGGCTCGAGAGGATAACTTTCACTCGGACCCAATTCGTCACTCTGGCAAACCGGGCGGCAAAGGCGCGCTTACCAGCCCCCCTTTGCCGCCCGGTTTTCCCCTTGGAGCGCTATAGTGGCCAGCCGCGTGGAGGCGATGTCCGCGTGAGCCGTACATCGCCTAAATAGGGAATTCAACCGATTTGGTGCCCGCACTTTGTGGGCAGCACCTTCCACCACCACCTTGCGGGATATCTTAATAACAGCAGTTCCCGGATCCCTCCTATTTCAGGCGCAGACTGGCATACCGTGTAGTGTTAGTCGGTCCGATTCCGACATACCAACCGGCCGCAAACCCCGGTGACGACCATTTGAAAAAACACACTGTTTATATTTTTTTTTAATTAAAAGCTCAACTATTGTGAGACACCACTAAGAACGCCTACAGCCAATCGTAATTGAGATGAGTCTTTGCAGGTATTGGCCTCAAGGTAGTATCTTTCACATAGTTTTGTTTCTTAACATACTCATTAAGGCTTTAATGTGCGTAAATCAACAAAATTATACAGTGTATGATTGACAGTTTAACTGGAGTATTCAACATCCTTTGTTCATCTAGTTATGTATTACTTTTTTTAGCACGGTTAATTTGGTGTTCATCTTCTTCTTTTTTAACGCCACTCTCTTCGAAACTCTCTTAGGTATGATGGCATGATTCACAAAGTATAATTTCTCTACTTTTTTGTACATTCTTGAAGGCTCTTGTGCCTTCAATTCTTTGATGCACTACACGTCCTTCCACAGATACGACTTCACGACGTACTGTTTTGTAGAAAAAACACTAAACCATGCCTGCTTCTCGTAGGCCTAAATAAAAGTTTATAAACATAAAAATTACAGACACAAAGTAAGTTCATCATAACAATTATCTATAAATCAAAAGTAGACCACTAGGTGCGAATTTATGCTGCATACTTCAAGTTTTTATAATACTAATCATTAATGAAACCCGACCCATCAATTTTGTGGAGATACATAAAATATGAATGTCTGTATTATTTAGCTACACAAATTTATTGCCTTTTACGTATGTTTTAAAGTGATTAAGAATGGCATTTTTTTAATATTATAAACAAAATGCCCAAATGAAAATCTTACTCACGAGGGTTCCACACAAAGTTGAATGTAGATAGTTAGTAGACCGATTCTTATTGATGTTTGTAATTTTTTCCGAGTATGTTTCACTACAAAATTAGTCATGAAACGTAAAACAACAATTTAAAGCGCAAAATTAAGAGCAAAGTTTAACTTATAAACGCAAAAAAAAACTATATATAACAATAAATGGATGTATTAGAAAATAATCTGTAAAATTGTTTAAAATAAACATAACTAAGTCTAAATGTCACTTGATTACGTCGTGTGATTTGATTACGTTGACTTCATAAGATTGATTCGTTTTCAAATTACCATAGCACCATTTGTTTTTAGTTTCATTCGATACCTTTATGTTTTTCTGAGACAAAAGGTCTCAACCAACAGACTACTAAGACTCGCCCTTCAGGCACTTTTTTTCCTTTTGAAGTATTTAACCCTAAAAATGTAATCAACTCTGACTGATGATATATTATAGTGATTTATCATGAAGACTCGAATGAAGAAGTGAGAACTGTGAAGTAATGAATATTTTAAAATGTTTTGTTAGAAAAATGTTATACAGCTAAAAATAATCAATCATCATCATCATCATCATCAGCCTATCGCAGTCCACTGCTGGACATAGGCCTCTCCCATTGCACGCCACTTAGATCGATTTTGGGCTTCTCGCATCCAGCTCCTGCCAAGAACTCGTTTTCCCCAACGGTTATCGGTTCTGCGGCTAATATGGCCAGCCCACTGCCACTTCAACTTGCTGATCCGG